CCTAACACATCCTCATCACACTACAACATACCTCCATACACTTATAACACACATGTAGAAACGCACAAAAAACATAACGCTAATAATAAACATTCTCATTTTCAGATGTCTCTCCCAATAGAACAGCCCGGCCCATTTCACGCATCACTAACTGAAATCCATAGGACTTCCCAACTTGACAATGAGTAATTTGCAACATTCCGATATTACAAGTTTCACTAAAAATAAAAATTAATTTAACTTCGAATTATGTAGTCGGTAACAAAAGTATTGTATTTGTAGCAATTCCAGATCACTTCACGAGCGTATGGACCGTTTCGAAAGTGAAATTAAGTAAGTGACATATTTCACTGTATACAAAATTTATATATGTAAAAGTTTAATATATTAGAGTAAGCATTTATACACGTTATGTTTCGTTACAGGAAAATGAATAGTACGTTGCAAAACATTTTAAAATGTTTAGAGAACAATCGGGAGCGAAAAGGTATAAAATCAGGCAATCTCCCGATATCGACTCACGCTCAAATGGAAATATTTCAAAATATCGGCCATGACGAATTTCAAAAACTTGTGAATAGACATATTTGTTCATCATTTATGCATTTACCCACAAATTATTATGACACATATATAAATATTAGCTTTTTTCCCCTCAGGTAAACTACTTGAAGTACATCGGAGGATTCAACCTGAAGGAAGCTGTACACTTATGCTTCAAGGAGGCAATGACAGATGACATAACGCGGTCCTTTACCTGGTGGGGTCGCCAAGACAACTCACGACCTTTATATAATACTCGCATTGTTATAGCCATCTACGGTAACGTTTTGTAATGTTATTTATGCATCTTCATAGTTATTCGGCGACTCTTCCATATTTGAGTATACTTTGTTTATTTTTCAGAGGCAGTATGCGGTAATCGACACTTCAGCAAGCCTACACGTGCAGAATTCCAAGCACAAATGCGAGAGGCAATACGGACGGCAAAGCAAAGGTGCAGAAATAGGACACGTGGCCCGCTTGGACCGAATCTAAGAGAGCGCAATTTTTGGACTGAGGAACCACAGGATCTGCCGGCAGCAGAGGACAGCGACGAATAAATGATGTGATGTTTGTTTCTTTTTCCTTAGATGAGTACTTTATTGCATTTTATAAATTATTTTGTGAAGTAGTGCAATTACTTTTAATTGTTTACATATTTATTTCTTGCTCACTTCAACTAAATTATTATTTACTTTTATCTAATGTTTACGATTGTATTCCAGATAGAGCAGTTTAACGTGCAGGGATTATGGCGCGGGGCGCCGATGGGGGTTTTTAGTCGGTAGGTTCTGGTCCTTTGGGCCAGGGAGTCCGACACTACTCCGGGTGTTCTTCCTGCACTAGGCCCCGGAGTGTCCATGATGGATTTTCCCCCATCTAAAAAAAAAAACTTTTCAATGTTACACAATTAATAAAATTTTTTTTACTATAATCTTTCATTTGTGTACTTATTTCTTATATAGTGAATTCGATTACGAAAACTAGTGCGCGCGCACATGCACGCGACATACACGCGACATACACACACACACACATATACACACACACACACACAAATTTTGGTCTGTTTTAATGGTCGATACGTCTTGCTCGTTGTTTGCCGTCACACGTTGCTCGGCATGTCTTGCTCGCTGTTTGTCGTAAACTTGCCGTCACGCGTTGCTCAGCACGTCTTGTTTGTTGTTTGCCGTCAATTTGTCGTCACGCGTTGCTCGGCACGTCTTGTTCGATTTTTGCCACAAATTTGCCATCACATGTTGCTCGGCACGTCTTGCTCGCTGTTTGTCGTAAATTTGCTGTCACGT